CCAACAGGAGCCACCACACTACCAGCAGGAGCCACCACACTACCAACAGGAACCACCACACTACCAGCAGGAGCCACCACACTACCAGCAGAAGCCACCACACTACCAGCAGGAGCCACCACACTACCAGCAGGAACCACCACACTACCAGCAAGAGCCACCACACTACCAGCAGGAGCCACCACACTACCAGCAGGAGCCACCACACTACCAGCAGAAGCCACACTACCAGCAGGAACCACCACACTACCAGCAGGAACCACCACACTACCAGCAGGAGCCACCACACTACCAGCAGGAGCCACACTACCAGCAGGAGCCACACTACCAGCAGGAGCCACCTCACTACCAGCAGGAGCCACCACACTACCAGCAGGAGCCACCACACTACCAGCAGGAGCCACCACACTACCAGCAGGAGCCTCCACACTACCAGCAGGAGCCACCACACTACCAGCAGGAGCCACACTACCAGCAGGAGCCACACTACCAACAGGAGCCACCACACTACCAGCAGGAACCACCACACTACCAGCAGGAGCCACCACACTAACAGCAGGAGCCACCACACTACCAGCAGGAGCCACCACACTACCAGCAGAAGCCACACTACCAGCAGGAGCCACCACACTACCAGCAGGAGCCACCACACTACCAGCAGGAGCCACCACACTACCAGCAGGAGCCACCACACTACCAACAGGAACCACCACACTACCAGCAGGAGCCACCACACTACCAGCAGGAGCCACCACACTACCAGCAGAAGCCACACTACCAGCAGGAACCACCACACTACCAGCAGGAACCACCACACTACCAGCAGGAGCCACCACACTACCAACATGAGCCACACTACCAGCAGGAGCCACACTACCAGCAGGAGCCACCTCACTACCAGCAGGAGCCACCACACTACCAGCAGGAGCCACCACACTACCAGCAGGAGCCACCACACTACCAGCAGGAGCCTCCACACTACCAGCAGGAGCCACCACACTACCAGCAGGAGCCACACTACCAGCAGGAGCCACACTACCAGCAGGAGCCACCACACTACCAGCAGGAACCACCACACTACCAGCAGGAGCCACCACACTACCAGCAGGAGCCACCACACTACCAGCAGGAGCCACCACACTACCAGCAGAAGCCACACTACCAGCAGGAGCCACCACACTACCAGCAGGAGCCACCACACTACCAGCAGGAGCCACCACACTACCAGCAGGAGCCACCACACTACCAGCAGGAACCACCACACTACCAGCAAGAGCCACCACACTACCAGCAAGAGCCACCACACTACCAGCAGGAGCCACCACACTACCAGCAGAAGCCACACTACCAGCAGGAACCACCACACTACCAGCAGGAACCACCACACTACCAGCAGGAGCCACCACACTACCAGCAGGAGCCACCACACTACCAGCAGGAGCCACCACACTACCAGCAGGAGCCACACTACCAGCAGGAGCCACCTCACTACCGGCAGAAGCCACCACACTACCAACAGGAGCCACCACACTACCAGCAGGAGCCACCACACTACCAGCAGGAGCCTCCACACTACCAGCAGGAGCCACCACACTACCAGCAGGAGCCACATTACCAGCAGGAGCCACACTACCAGCAGGAGCCACCACACTACCAGCAGGAGCCACCACACTACCCGCAGGAGCCACCACACTACCAGCAGGAGCCACCACACTACCAGCAGGAGCCACCACACTACCAGCAGGAGCCACCACACTACCAGCAGGAGCCACCACACTACCAGCAGGAGCCACCACACTACCAGCAGAAGCCACACTACCAGCAGGAACCACCACACTACCAGCAGGAGCCACCACACTACCAGCAGGGGCCACACTACCAGCAGGAGCCACCACACTACCAGCAGGAGCCACCACACTACCAGCAGGAACCACCACACTACCAGCAGGAACCACCACACTACCAGCAGGAGCCACCACACTACCAGCAGGAACCACCACACTACCAGCAGGGGCCACACTACCAGCAGGAGCCACCACACTACCAGCAGAAGCCATCACACTACCAGCAGGAGCCACCACACTACCAGCAGGAGCCACCACACTACCAGCAGAAGCCACACTACCAGCAGGAGCCACACAACCGGCAGGAGCCACACTACCAGCAGGAGCCTCCACACTACCAGCAGGAGCCACCACACTACCAGCAGGAGCCACACTACCAGCAGGAGCCACCACACTACCAGCAGGAGCCACCACACTACCAGCAGGAGCCACCACACTACCAGCAGGAGCCACCACACTACCAGCAGGAGCCACATTACCAGCAGGAGCCACACTACCAGCAGGAGCCACCACACTACCAGCAGGAACCACCACACTACCCGCAGGAGCCACCACACTACCAGCAGGAGCCACCACACTACCAGCAGGAGCCACCACACTACCAGCAGGAGCCACCACACTACCAGCAGGAGCCACCACACTACCAGCAGGAGCCACCACACTACCAGCAGAAGCCACACTACCAGCAGGAACCACCACACTACCAGCAGGAGCCACCACACTACCAGCAGGGGCCACACTACCAGCAGGAGCCACCACACTACCAGCAGGAGCCACCACACTACCAGCAGGAACCACCACACTACCAGCAGGAACCACCACACAACCAGCAGGAGCCACCACACTACCAGCAGGAACCACCACACTACCAGCAGGGGCCACACTACCAGCAGGAGCCACCACACTACCAGCAGAAGCCAGCACACTACCAGCAGGAGCCACCACACTACCAGCAGGAGCCACCACACTACCAGCAGAAGCCACACTACCAGCAGGAGCCACACTACCGGCAGGAGCCACACTACCAGCAGGAGCCTCCACACTACCAGCAGGAGCCACCACACTACCAGCAGGAGCCACACTACCAGCAGGAGCCACCACACTACCAGCAGGAGCCACCACACTACCAGCAGGAGCCACCACACTACCAGCAGGAGCCACCACACTACCAGCAGGAGCCGCCGACATCAACCCTCATGTTCGTCTTCAGCATGAAAATAGCGCCGCCATTCGCTGTAATGACCGAACCACCTGACTAAATTACCATAAACGACCACGAGGCCTCAACCACCACCTTCCCGCCACTCTTGTAAACGCAAGAATTTACAGAAACAAAATGTTGGTCTTAAGCCGAACACAAAATATTAGCAGGTGTGTGGTTGCCAACCCTCCAGTGAGCCCTCTAGAACAAGGAAGACGAAACAGTGAAACAAAATAAAGTGGATGAAGAAGTAAGGAAGACCAGATAAGACTAGGAAGGACGGAAGAGGAGGAGAGGACACTAAACACCAGAAGAACTTTACTGAAGCGACCATACGAGTCATAAATACTCATACTCCGCCCAAGTAAAACAGAAACAAGCAATACTTAGTGGGCCAGCCAGAGGCTTAGGGGCCCGCCCAGTGGACCAGCCAGAGGCTTAGAGTCCGACCAGTGGGCCAGCCAGAGACTTAGGGCCCGCCCAGTGGGCCAGCCAGAGGCTTTGAGCCCGACCAGTGGGCCAGCCAAAGACTTAGGGCCCGCAAAGTGGCCAGCCAGAGGCTTAGGGCCCGCCCAGTGGGCCAGCCAGAGGCTTAGGGGCCCGCCCAGTGGACCAGCCAGAGACTTAGGGCCCGCCCAGTGGGCCAGCCAGAGGCTTAGGGCCCGCCCAGTGGGCCAGCCAGAGGCTTAGGACCCGCCCAGTGGGCCAGCCAGAGGCTTAGGGCCCGCCCAGTGGGCCAGCCAGAGACTTAGGGCCCACCCAGTGGGCAAGCCAGAGACTTAGGGCCCGCGCAGAGGGCCAGCCAGAGGCTTAGGGCCCACCCAGTGGGCCAGCCAGAGGCTTAGGGCCCGCCCAGTGGGCCAGCCAGAGGCTTAGGGCCCGCCCAGTGGGCCAGCCAGAGGCATAGGGCTCGCCCCGTGGGCCAGCCAGAGGCTTAGGGCCCGCCCAGTGGGCCAGCCAGAGGCTTAGGGCCCGCCCAGTGGGCAAGCCAGAGGCTTATGGCCCGCCCAGTGGGCCAGCCAGATCGAGACTTAGGGCCCGCCCAGTGGGCCAGCCAGAGGCTTAGGGCCCGCGCAGTGGGCCAGCCAGAGGCTTAGGGCCCGCGCAGTGGGCCAGCCAGAGACTTAGGGCCCGCGCAGTGGGCCAGCCAGAGACTTAGGGCCTGCCCAGTGGGCCAGCCAGAGACTTAGGGCCCGCGCAGTGGGCCAGCCAGAGGCTTAGGGCCCGCACAGTGGGCCAGCCAGAGACTTAGGGCCCGCCCAGTGGGCCAGCCAGAGGATTAGGGCCTGCCCAGTGGGCCAGCCAGAGGATTAGGGCCTGCCCAGTGGGCCAGCCAGAGGCTTTGGGCCCGTGCAGTGGGCCAGCCAGAGACTTAGGGCCTGCCCAGTAGGCCAGCCAGAGACTTAGGGCCCGCCCAGTGGGCCAGCCAGAGACTTAGGGCCCGCCCAGTGGGCCAGCCAGAGGCTTAAGGCCCGCCCAGTGGGCCAGCCAGAGGCTTAGGGCCCGCCCAGTGGGCCAGCCAGAGACTTAGGGCCCGCCCAGTGGGCCAGCCAGAGGCTTAGGGCCCGCCCAGTGGGCCAGCCAGAGGCTTAGGGCCCACCCAGTGGGCCAGCCAGAGGCTTTGGGCCCGTGCAGTGGGCCAGCCAGAGACTTAGGGCCTGCCCAGTAGGCCAGCCAGAGACTTAGGGCCCGCCCAGTGGGCCAGCCAGAGACTTAGGGCCCGCCCAGTGGGCCAGCCAGAGGCTTAGGGCCCGCCCAGTGGGCCAGCCAGAGGCTTAGGGCCCACCCAGTGGGCCAGCCAGAGGCTTAGGGCCCGCCCAGTGGGCCAGCCAGAGGCTTAGGGCCTGCAAAATGGGCCAGCCAAGAACCCCCAACTCCACACTCCCTCCACACCGGCTCGTCATCAACCAGCCAACTACCCATCCCACCCTGTCTGCTCCTGATTGGTAACTCGCCAACTGCACACTGCACGTCAGCGCCATCTAGCTGAGTCGATGTCTGAGCCTGGACCAGCCATCAACTTCAGAATATTCTTTGTGCTCTAAGAGTTGACATCTCTCTCTGGCATACTAAGCTCTAAGTTTTGTATACTAAGGGAGGTCTCAGCCATAGCTAATATTCTCAGCACCATTTTACCATTTACTATTTTGTCTCACATTGTTTTTGCATTTATCTTTGTTATTTAATTGCACTATTCATTTCCCCGAAATTTGTCTTTACTTTTATTTATGTTTAAAGTAAATATATTAAAGTTTCATTGTTCATACTCTGTTTTTACGTGTTCCTCCCTCTCACTTACCACAGACAACAGGCAAGCAGTCTATCTTTTTTTTGTGAGTGTGACCAGGCATTGACACCTGCCATTGGAGGACTGCTGAACATATATACTCCAATACTTTCCCGTCACAATATATATATATATATATATATATATATATATATATATATATATATATTTATATATATATATATTTATATTTATGATCGTTGTTCCCTTCGGGAATCTTAATTTAAGGATGAATAGGAAAACCAGGGATATACTGAACATCTTGTATCAGAATCTTTACTTTAAAAAACATAACGTTTCGAATACTTCTCGTATTCATCATCAGATCTAAAAGAAAAAACAGAAATCACAATCAAATAGCTGGTAAACAAGGAACTCATACTGAATATAATTGCCTATCAAAGAAAGGAAAATGCTTAAGAAACAAAACACTTAAGCGCACTTAAAGTGATCAATACAAATAAAACTTATTAACTGTCACATATATAAAAGCTAATTTAATAATCCATTAAACTACAAGATGAAATTTATAACTACTAAAACAAACCATTCCATTAAACTTACGTGAAGTGATCAGAAGTGAAACTTGATACCTAACACATAGATACTAAACACTATAACAAATATTCATATAATGACTACAAATCTACAAAAAATGTATGTAAAATACAAACAGAATAAACGACAATTATAAAGTACTAACCAAAATCTTATAAAAACTCAAAAATTAAATAAAATTAAATACCAGAAAATGTATTATATATCCTAAATAAAAGATTATAATAATGTACAATGTTAAGACTTGAAATAAGTAAGAAAGGGCAAAGACATGGTAAACTAAACAAAATTATAATAAAATTAAACTACCAAAATGAACTATAAATCAAATTACAGGTCCTACTGTGCACTATACAGTGTACAATTGAACAGCTGAAAGGTTGCTATTTAACAGAGGCCGCAGCTCCTTTATATATAAGGATTCCATTACTCTCAAATCTGACTGGCCATTCATACAAGTGTCCAGAATTTTAAAATCAGATTCCAGCAGAGAATGATTAAACTCATAACAATGGTTTCTAATCTCCGAAAATGCTGCTTTAGACAAGAGTCATGTGTTTGTAGAAAGCCTATTGGTCCATATTTCTTGATGCTTCTATATTGGAGCGGAGTCTTGAGGTGGGTAGAATATAGTTGTGCATTAATTAGCTGTTGATTGCTGCTGTTGACTTCTTGATGTGTAGTGCCACGCAAACGTCAAGCCGCCTGCTATCGCTGTATCTATCGATGATTTCTGTGTTGTTTACTAGGATTTCTCTGGCGATGGTTTGGTTGTGGGAAGAGACAACCCACAACCACAATCTCTTCCCACAACCAAACCATCGCCAGAGAAATCCTAGTAAACAACACAGAAATCATCGATAGATACAGCGATAGCAGGCGGCTTGACGTTTGCGTGGCACTACACATCAAGAAGTCAACACCAGCAATCAACAGCCAATTAATGCACAACTATATTCTACCCACCTCAAGACTCCGCTCCAATATAGAAGCATCAAGAAATATGGACCAATAGGCTTTCTACAAACACTTCTATTCAATACCCATTGTTTCGTGTTCTGTCTTGTGTTGATGAAATTAATACCCTATTAATACCACCTCTTGTTCTGTCTTGTGTTGATGAAATTAATACCCTATTAATGCCACATCACCCCTTCCACCTCACTCAAATGTAGATATAAAATCGGAGATGCGTAAGTTCTATTCAGTTGTGTATTTGTAAACTAAAAGTCTTTGAAAATGTAATAAGTTTTACGAAACGCGCTCGTGTCGCGTCAGACTAGAAATAAAAATGAATTTTGGAGAATTGATTTTTTATTTACCTCCAACAGTGAAAAGAAATGTACGAAAGATTGAGAAAATTCGTGTTAGAATTATTAATCTTACTTTTTCGGTCATATTTAATAATATATGTCTACAGGAAAGACTGCTACCAAAATATACTTTATATATATATATATATATATATATATATATATATATATATATATATATATATATATATATATATATATTATATATATGTGTGTGTGTGTGTGTGTGTGTGTGTGTGTGAGCGTGTGTGTGTGTGTGTAACCTACGCTTAAGACAATCCGACAGTCCCACGTCTATTATAATACCCAGTAAGTCGTTCCATATATCACCACCCCCTGCTTTCACACCAGTATTTTCCCAGGTCTCGCCAAAATCGAAAATTTATCCAATATCCATTGTCACGTGTTTTGTGTTAATACATTTAAAATCTTACTTATATCCACTCTATAATTTCATGTTGTGAAGAGCACACCCTGGGGTAGTACTTGTTGTATTGTTTCTGTGATGCTTTCACTGTGTCTTGGGGAAGGGAAGGAAATTATCAGTGAAAAGCACCAAGCCATTACGACTATATAGCACTGGGATGGGACGGGGGGAAAGGAATGGTGCCCAACTACTCAGACGGTCGGGAATTGAGAGCCGACCTGCATGAATCCATGACTTACCCAAAGTCCTCATCAATCTTACCCAGCCATCAGGCCAAGATCTTGATCAAATTCCACCTTATGCATATTTATATGTCACTATTTGACTTATAACACAAGCAACTGATTGGATGAATCTTTCGTTCTATTTAATAACAGTCAGACTTTACTAATGTGTAAGTCAATATAATTATTTATTTTCTGCTTACACATGGAAATAATATATATTAGGCAAGGCCTAACTTGGCTTGAATTAATTTAAAATTGAAGAGCCGGTGGCTGAGTGGACAGAACACTGGGCGCGTTATCCTGTGATCCCAGGCGCCGGCGAGGAACAATGCACAGAGTTTCTTTCACTCTGATGTCCGTTACCTAGCAGAAAAAGAGGTACTTGAGAGTTAGCTGTCACGGGCTGCTTCCTGGGGGTGGAGGCCTGGTCGAGGACCGGGCCGCGGGGACACTAAAGCCCCGAAATCATCTCAAGATAACCTCAAGAAGATGCCTAATTTGGCGCATCATTGTTTGTTTTAGTCACTTTGCGTCTTGAGTCATTAAACACTACACAACTCGTGTATTATATAAACCTCAGCCCGTCCTCCAAACAAAGACCCAAAAGTCCATTCCACCCACTCGCCAAGCCCCCCCCCCCTCCAGCTGTTTATGAATGAAAAACGGTTTACACACAACCCGTCCTCAACTCAAGTCCATTACATCCAGCGGTCAACCCCACAGACGCATTCATAAATTTTAACATGCTGTTCATTCAAAACGGGAATTTTCTCAAGTATAAATTAATATTATAATATATTAACAAATTGTATATAAATAGGCATAGGTTAGGTTAGGTGTTTAGGTTCTGTTGGCGATTATTTGTATTTGTAGTACGTGGGTGAAGCATTTATAGCGTTGTGGTTCGAACACAAGTCGTCAGTGAAGCACTTGTTCCGGAAGCGTTCGAACGTCAGCAGTTGTGCGTCTTGTGTAAACCGCTTTTCATTCATAAACAGGGGGTTTGGCGAGTGCATGGAATCACTTTTGGATCTTTGTTTGTAGGACGGGCTGTTACACACGACTCACAACTGCTGACGTCCGAACACTTCCGGAACAAGTGCTTCACTGACGACTTGTGTTCGAACCACAACGCTGTAAATGCTTCACCCACGTACTACAAATACAAATAATCGCCAACAGAACCTAAACACCTAACCTAACCTAGGCCTATATATGCACAATATGCTAATATATTATAATATTAATTTATATTTGAGAAAATTCCTGTTTTGAATGAAGATCATGTCACAATTTATGACTGCGTCTGTGGGGTCGACCGCTGGATGGAATGGACTTGAGTCGAGGACGGGTTGATAAACACAGAGTCAAATAGACAGTTACGGGTACAATAAAGGGATAAAGATCATTATGATGATAAAGATCATTATGATGATAAAGATCATTATGATGATAAAGATCATTATGATGATAAAGATCATTATGATGATAAAGATCATTTACAATGACACATCACCTTACATGGCAACTATGTCTCGTTGTCAAGCTCCTGCGCCGCGTTACCAAGTGAACGATAATATCAGCAAGTATCGCTCACCGGACTGGTCTGTCAGTCAGATATATTCACTCACAGTCATGTTACCAGTCAGCTCCAGCAGTCACTCACACTACTCAAGATAGAACAAACCACAAACTATCTCTCACTCATATTTACAAAAGTGTCATAAGTAATTAACTAGCACCGCGCCACTTAAATAAGTATCCGCACAAAATAAAGTGAATGAGACGAAGATTATTGACAAGTGTGACACGCTGTTGACCAGGAATTATGCCAACACGTGATCCATTAATTAACACGTATGAGAATAGTTCTCAAATACATTTAGTTATAATAATTAAAAACCGAACATAAAACATTAAAAACCATACGATTAATCATTTGAATATATAACAACTTGAAGAGGAAAAGATAAATAAACGGGGAAAATAATTAATTAAACTATACTTGTCAACCCCTCTGGGTGGTGGGTTCCCCCCCCCCCACCCCACAACACCCTCCGTCACGCCGTGAGGTCAGTCAGTGCCCGCTGACACTCGCAAGGGTGTACACCGTCACTCCTCTACTCCCAAATGTTACGTTATCACTGTGATAACCGTAACCAACTATGTACAGAACTCATGGTTCAAGTTCAAGTATGTTTATTGAGACAAGAAAGAAATACATCTCAAAGGGATAGAGTAGCTTAGGATTCGTCAAGTGAATACTTAGACCTGTATATCTTTCCTCCATGAGGTAACTCTTCCCCTCCTACGAAACCCGTCCATCTTTCCTAAGGACAATTCGGGTTTCTTTACATATATTAAAGAGAGTATGATGACCTCTGAAGCATCACGAGATATTATTATCTTTATAACGATAATATTCTTGAATTGTGTAGTTTCGAAGCTCTTCAACAGCTTAATACATATATACTAAGCCGCCAGGGTAAAGGAAAAGATGTACAGGTTTCGTAAGTGGACACGTACATTAAACAAGGCCTATTCTAGTACTAGTATTATCAATGATGTCCGCTTGAGACACTTGTGTCCTACCACACTGTGTGTGCATGTATCCGGTACACACCACGAAGCACTGTCTTCTAACTAACCTTACTAACTAAATTACTAACTAACTGAGCCACTAATAACCTAACTACTAACCAAATCTAACTAATAAATACTGACCTAATTACAAGCCTAATCGAACTACTAATCCTAACTACAAACTAGCATAACCTAACTACTAAGGTAACTACTAATTACCAAAAATACTAACCTATATTATTAATTAACCAAACAAATAATCTAATTTAATTACAAATAACGTAACCTATCTACTACTGAACCTAACTTAACTAATAACTAACCGAACTATTAGCTAATCTAACTACTAACGAGCCATAGTGTTAGCTAATCAAATTAATTATCAAACTGAACTAACTAATCTAACCAAGCACTGAACTCACTAATCTAACCAGGAACTGAACTACTAAGTAATCTAACTAGAAACCGTAGTTAGTAATCTAACTAACTGCAATTACATTTTTCCTCCCCATTTCCTTTCAAATTGTTCTCTACCTGCCGATTTTTTTCCCATTCTTGAATGTTCTTTCTGATGTGTTCCTCTGTTATGACGTTGGGTGAGTGGGTGGGGGGCACTGCCCCCTATATCTATGGTGAGTGACGTTGTTGTGGTTTTAGATTGAACTACTCGGAAGGAAATGTCCATGTAGCACGGGCTATGGTGAGCCCGGAAGGACTTGGTCCAGCAAGGGGGGGGAGGACGCTTTTAGTGTCAAACTTTACCCTCGTTGCTGAGCCGGATCTCGACGGACTGGAGGTTGTGACGGACTGAGGAAGGTGAGGACGGCGGCGCGTGTATCCGTTGGTGTCCCGCTGAGCGTCTTGTGTTCTCGGGCGTCGAGTCCTCTGGTAGTGAGGCTCGTCCACACAGTACTCGTCTCAGGGCTGGGCTCGTCCCCACAGTACTCGTCTCAGGGCTGGGCTCGTCCACACAGTACTCGTCTCAGGGCTGGGCTCGTCCACACAGTACTCGTCTCAAGGCTGGGCTCGTCCACACAGTATTCGTCTCAGGGCTGGGCTCGTCCACACAGTATTCGTCTCAGGGCTGGGCTCGTCCACACAGTACTCGTCTCAGGGCCGGGCTCGTCCACACAGTACTCGTCTCAGGGCTGGGCTCGTCCACACAGTATTCGTCTCAGGGCCGGCCTCGTCCACACAGTATTCGTCTTAGGGCTGGGCTCGTCCACACAGTACTGGTCTCAGGGCTGGCCTCGTCCCCTCAGTATTCGTCTCAGGGCTGGGTTCGTCCACACAGTACTCGTCTCAGGGCTGGCCTCGTCCACACAGTATTCGTCTCAGGGCCGGCCTCGTCCACACAATACTCGTCTCAGGGTCGGCCTCGTCCACACAGTACTCGTCTCAGGGCTGGGCTCGTCCACACAGTATTCATCTCAGGGTCGGCCTCGTCCACACAGTATTCGTCACTCAGGGCTGGGCTCGTCCACACAGTACTCGTCTCAGGGCTGGGCTCGTCCACACAGTGCTCGTCTCAGGGCTGGGCTCGTCCACAAAGTACTGGTCTCTGTGGAACTATTTAGTCACAGTTTTTCATCAAATCCTGGTTCATGCTCGGGGCGCCCTGAGCCAACTAATTTATGGCGTGGAGACCGTCCAGAACAAGGTGGACACAAGGCTCTTCCTTTTTCCAGATAAGAGGTTCTTGATGTATACAGATTTTGTTTTCCAGATAAGAGCTTCTTAATGTATACAGATTTTGTTTTCCTGATTCGAGGTTTTGTTCAGGATACGAGGTTATATTTTGGGCGCCTTAGGGAGACATAATCACTATCATCTGTTCTCTTTGTATATAAGTTATATATATTTTTACCCATCGCTTAGAGTTTTTACTCCTTTAATATAATTCAGGAGCTCAGTATGGGCCTGAACTTTATAAGCCTGGTTTTAATTTGTTATTCTTACCGTTAGGTAAGATATACCCGTAATTATACTAGTTACAACCCCGCTCCTGTGCTGGGTATGTCCACTACGGGCTCACCATAGCCCGTGCTACTTGCCCCGCTCCTGTGCCAGGTAAGTCCACTACGGGCTCACCATAGCCCGTGCTACTTGCCCCGCTCCTGTGCCAGGTAAGTCCACTACGGGCTCACCATAGCCCGTGCTACTTGCCCCGCTCCTGTGCCAGGTAAGTCCACTACGGGCTCACCATAGCCCGTGCTACTTGCCCCGCTCCTGTGCCAGGTAAGTCCACTACGGGCTCACCATAGCCCGTGCTACTTGCCCCGCTCCTGTGCCAGGTAAGTCCACTACGGGCTCACCATAGTCCGTGCTACTTGCCCCGCTCCTGTGCCAGGTAAGTCCACTACGGGCTCACCATAGTCCGTGCTACTTGCCCCGCTCCTGTGCCAGGTAAGTCCACTACGGGCTCACCATAGCCCGTGCTACTTGCCCCGCTCCTGTGCCAGGTAAGTCCACTGCGGGCTCACCATAGCCCGTGCTACTTGCCCCACTCCTGTGCCAGGTAAGTCCACTACGGGCTCACCATAGCCCGTGCTACTTGCCCCGCTCCTGTGCCGGGTAAGTCCACTACGGGCTCACCATAGCCCGGGCTACTTGCCCCGCTCCTGTGCCAGGTAAGTCCACTACGGGCTCACCATAGCCCGTGCTACTTGCCCCGCTCCTGTGCCAGGTAAGTCCACTACGGGCTCACCATAGCCCGTGCTACTTGCCCCGCTCCTGTGCCAGGTAAGTCCACTACGGGCTCACCATAGCCCGTGCTACTCGGAACAATTATTTCTGAGTAGCTGAATCTAAAACAACAACTTAATGATATCCTTAACATATTCTTAACTCACCAGTTAATATTTTCAAAGTCTATATGTAAGCTTGTTCATGTTTATGTTCATTTTGGTCTTGGAGAGTTGCGAAAGACAGGGGCCTTAAGAAGACTTTGATAAAGCCGCCTTCAAACGCCATAGCAACTTCTAATTCATTTGACGTTTTGGAGGACGAGTGCTGTGGTGAGACTGCGGATCGCGCAAAAGGGAAAGCAACGAAGAGAAAGGAAGAGCAGGCCCCTCAGAAAGTAAAGGTACCTAAGCAAACATTAGTTGTGGGAGATTCCCAGATAAGGTATTTGGATAGAGCGTTTTGTGCTAGAGATAGGGGGAACAGGTTAAGGGTTTGCTATCCCGGAGCTGGCATTGGTGATATTATAAAAAACATGAATGATATTATGGCTGGTAATGGGAACAATCCCATTATTTGCATTAGCGTGGGAGGAAATGATGTTGGTCGAGTTAGGAGTGAGGAACTGATTCAGAGGTATAAAACAGCCATAGAATTAGTTAGGAGCAAGGGAGGAATCCCGATCATATGTGGCATTCTTCCAAGAAAGGGAGTGGGAAATGAATGGATATCGAGGGCACTTGGTGTCAATTGCCGGCTGGAAAGATATTGCAAATCAAATGCAATATCTTTCATAGACAACTGGGAACACTTCTATGGAAGAAATGAAATGTATGCTCGTGATGGGGTGCATCTATCGAGAGCTGGGGTTGTTGCTGTTGCGAACTGTTGGTTCAGTAACAGGGTTGTTGATTTGTGGAACCAATTGCCGCGTAACATTGTGGAGGTGGGGTCCCTCGATTGTTTCAAGCACGGGTTGGACAAGTATATGAGTGGGATTGGGTGGTTATAGAATAGGAGCTGCCTCGTATGGGCCAATAGGCCTTCTGCAGTTACCTTTGTTCTTATGTTCTTATGTTCTTATGAACTCGTTGGAAGAAGTGGTTAGAGGTGTTTGTTTGGGTTTAAACTGTTAGTAGATAGAGGTATGGGAATTGATTTGGAGGAAGGAGGTAATAAAAGTATGTGTTTGTGGGAGAAAGGAATTGGCAAAACGATCAGGGAAAGAGAAGGTCCGCAAAATAACAATTCACTTAGGGTATATTACACTAACAGTAGAAGTCTAAGAAATAAAATTAACGAATTAAATGCTCTTGTCTGCACAGAAAAAATAGATATTATTGC